AAACTAAAAAAAAAAAATTTTAAAATTCATACAAATTAACTAAAAACACTAAGACCATTGAAAAAAAAATCAAAAATCAAGTCATTGCCTATTTTCCAAAAAAAAAAAAAAGAAAGAAAATAAGAGAGAGTTTATAATCATTAGTGCTAAGTTGGTATCAAGAGGTATGAATATGATGACTCAATCATAATAGCTAGCTAGTAATGCCCTCAAGTTGCCAGGTGCGTTCTTATTATTATTATTTTTTTTGTGATTTAACAATTGAAGTTACTAAAGGAGTTGATGCCAAAATGAAGGGAAAAAGCGAAAGCAATATGTCCCAAGGTGGCGTTGGCTTTGAAAGGTAATTTGTCGGGTGCTGACCACACGAAATTGAAACGAAACTCTGGTCATAGAACGTGCGCGCAGACCGCAGTGCGGTGTGGGGTTAAAGTCGCCGGATTCGGACACCCATCGTTGGGATTCAGATGTGGAATTCCCATCTCATCACATCGCCCGGAATTTGGACTTTGTATGACTTTGCTGACTGGATACATACATGAGGTCCACATCTAGAGGACAAATTAACCAGAGAATATTTTCCAAAAAAAAACCATGGAATGGGATTCCCGCAATTAAGGGTGGGCATTCGGTGGGATAACTGAACGATTACTCTAAAACCAAATAAAAAAATGAATTTGATTCAATTTTAATAGTTTTTAGATATTATTGTTTTGGTTTTGGTTTAAATTTTTACAAATAAAAAATACAAAAGAACCACTTAAAAACTAAAATTTGGTTAAATATGATAAAATGTGATAAAATATTATATGAAATATAATTTATTATTGAAAAAAAACTAATTAATGTTTATTTAGTTAAAATCAAAATCAAACCAATTTTATTAATAACCGAACCAATTGATTTTTGAAAATTTTAATTTGGTTTTGATCCTCAAAGTTAGAAAAAAAAAAATTTGGTTAATTTAAAATCAATTTCGGTCTTAATCAAAACCGGTCTTTGCCCACTCCCTCAATCATCCGAATCTTACGAACCCTAATCTACAATAACTTCCGCCATCAATATTAATTACGAAAAATTATTAACAAATAAATTTCATATAATTTTTAATATCATTTTATATGTTATTTAAAAATTAACATATATTAATTTTTAAAAAAATTAAAATCTCAATTTATATTTAAAAATTAAAATCTCAATTTATATTTAA